TAAATAAACAAATAAATAAATAAATAATCTGTTTTGCTTTGTGCAGTTCTGTTGTTCCATTCCTGTACTATGGCTTAATAATAATTACCCTTAGCTATTAAATTAATACATTTCTATATCAGTCCTGCCTTGCCTGGGATGCAAGGAGGAAGATGTATCCTGGCAGCCTCAATGGTGTTTGCTTACAAAGTGTTTTCATCTTGCCAATTGTTGTGTAGCAAGCAATCCATAGTGAGATACATGGTTATCCAGAACTTCTTTGTAACCTTTAAAACAATGCAATACTGTCAATCCCAAGCAACTGCACTCATTCTTGTTTAAGGACCAACTTTGCTGGTCTCTGCATACATTTATCTGGACTGGACTGGAAATAATGAGAAAGGGTAGAGTAGCATTGTAACCATAGCCTGTGCTCACAGTTTGCTTAATTAGGAATATGAGAACTGCCTTTGTTTGTAATAAAGGCATGACTATGCTTTTTTTTTTCTCTGTGGAAGTTCCAGGTTATCTATGTAAAACGTGATACCCTAGTCTAATAGGGCAATGTCACATCACTACTGTGGTTCTACACAATAAAAATTGTTTGTACCCATATGTATGGGGGCATCAAGATCTTCAATTCAGAGTTTGCTTTAGATGTTGTGCCGTTTAATGTGAAAGGAGTGGCTACTAGAGAGAGAGAGCCTTCTCAGTGGTTGACCCATGTTAAGAATCACTCCCTATACAGTAGATTTACCTTGCTCCTACTGTATTGCCCTTTCAGTGCTGGACAAAACCTTTTAAATGTTCCTGTGCTTCTAAAGGTGCAATCTGATAACTATTTTGTGTTGCCTTGTTACCTTTTCAGCTCTATTTACATTTCAGTTCTTTGCTCTTGTTGTGACCATTTTCCTTATTCCTGGGAATAGTATTGAAAGATCATATAAAAGTACTGTAAATAAAGAAGGAGCAATGCAGTGCCACAAATGCACAGTCATGCAATACTTTTTGGTTCTTGTACTCGTTCTTTCCTGTATTTCATATCTTATGTTGGCAAAACCAGGACAGCGGGAGCATGCCCTTACGTGTGGAAACCAAGCGGTGCAAATATGCCCTTTGTTTATAGAACTAGGTTCTTTTAGCTTCTTAGCTGTGTTTCAAAAGAATCTTAGTGTTAGGCTTCTATATGTGGAAACGAATATGAGTAATGCCAAACCCTTGTGCTTGCAGAAGAGTGAGGATGCTGACTCCACCAGCCCTCTTTCAGTTTCTATCAATAATTATTTTGACAGAGACGGAATAGAAGAAAAAGATGGTGATTTGTAACAGTTTTTAGCAGGGAATCCCACTGCACATGTGTTTTGGGGAGTATGAATTAAGGTTTGATTCCCTATGGGGGACATGCTTAGTGTGAATGTGGGGAAAAAAAATCTTAGAACTCTGTAAGCCGTTTTTGCTGTTTTACTGCAGAGTCATAGGCAGTTCATCAATGGAACAAGAGACATGCACTCATCACAAGGTGCCCTTTTGAATGGTAAAAAAAGTAAATGAATAAAAGCCATGCTAATAGAACCTTTCACAATGCTTATTCATTTATCTACTTGATTTGTTCTCTCAGAAACCAGAGATGGCTTGCAAGTACCATTTGAAAAAAAACGTTAGCACTTTAAAAAAGACATTATAAATATTAAAGCATAATTAAGGCTGTCGTATTAACAGTGATGCAGTAAAACATTTTGGTTAAAAATAGGAATTACAATTAACAGTGGAAAAGTGAAGCACGTCTTTAAAAGCCCCTATACTTAGCAGTCAGGCTGCAATCAGACAGCAATTAATTTCCTGTTTTGGACTGCTTTTAACAAATGTTTGATCTATTTTCGAGAGTCTACATGACACAAAGCAGCCTGACCCTTTTTCATGGATACCCACACTTTTTTGGATCAATGGCAGGGGCTGCTGTTTGTTTGTTTAGCACAGGCAGGATTGCTCCATTTTGGTGTGGTTGTCACTATCAGATCAAAGCACCACTTCAGCAGTATGCCACTTAGCAATATATAAATATTTTTAATCCAGCTTTCCTCCATTCTTCCATGAAAGGGAATACAGAGAGGACACAGAGGAGGAGATATAGATATAGATATAGATATAGATATAGATATAGATATAGATACACAGAGAGAGAGAGAGAGAGAGAGAGAGAGAGTATATAAAGAATATACATACAGTGGTGCCTCGCAAGACAATTATAATTTGTTCCACGAGAAACGCTGTCTTGTGAGGCATTGGTCTTGGGGAAAAAAAGTCTTGCGAAGCATGGTCATAGAAAAAAAATCATCTTGCGAGGCACCATAGTGATCACAAAAAACAATAGTCTTGCGGGTTTTTCGTCCCGCGGGGCAATCATCTTACGAGGCACCACTGTATTCTTTTTTCTGAAAATCCAGCACTATGTCAGTTGCGTGGCAGGCTAGTTGAGTTGTATGGCATTTACCAATAAAGTTTAAAAAATCCATCTCACTCACCCATGGAGGGGGAAACTGGAAAGGATGTGAAGGGACCCACCTTCCCCTCTTTTTTCCACTATGAACATTTGGACAGCAGATTCAGCAAGCACATCAGTCATGTCTGTTTCTAGTTAATGTCTTCTCTTGGGTCAGACCATTTATAATTTTGTTTAAATTATTTATTTAAAAAATCATCTCTAATTCTGTTGCAGAACATAACAAAACATTCCATAAAGTTTTATGGAAGTCAGGGTTCTTTCTATGGTCTTTTTTTTAAAGGGTGGATGTAACTGTTTTAGATGATACATGAAAGGCCACCTAGCTACAGAAATTTACTACCTTTTTGAAACCTAGGCTTAGACAGGTACTCAAATGAGACTTGTCTGAGAAATTCAGAAATATGTTTCCATCTGTTGTGCTCAAGTGTGGTGTGAGAAGGGTCAACTGTCACGCAGGCAGACATATTGTGACTTTGCTATATGATCTACCCTATGTCATCAAAGAAGAATGTAGTAAGTATTTGAAATCCTTATATGTAAAAACAGATTTTAAAATGAGAATGTAGTTCGTTCTTACAACATATGTGATGATTTTCTGACATTCCTCCTCCCATAAGCCAAAAAATGACTTATGAATGAATAAATTTAGAAGGGAATGAATTTTCTCTTCTACATCGTAGGAGTAGAGTTTCATGCTTATTTGTTTATATGTAGAATGCTATTGGCTTGGGGAGGCCACCTCTAACCAATCAAAGGCTTACATTGTCTTCTTGCCCGGTATGGTTTAGAGTGCTCTAGTTACATTACTGGAAGGGAAACCATTCATTGTGAGTAGTTCTAAATGTGTAATTAAGATCTAGTCCCTACATTTATGCCCATCAGTTTATGGAATTACTTACATGAATAAACAGGACATCACTAATACACCAGAGACAGAAATTCAGTACCACAAACATAATATTTTTCAGCTGAATCAGTTCACAGCTACAGCTACCCTCAAAGTGTTTACAGAAAATCTTTCCATCCATTTACCCACTACATGAAGTGGGAAGCAGTACTTGTTGTTAGAGATGCTGGAGGAATCATGCCCCAGAGATTTGAATGATCATTATAAAGTCTGAAAATGGGGATCTATACATGTAACAGCTGAAAGTGTTCATGTTCTGACACAATCAAAACCTCATCACAAGGGTACTGGGAGGAAAAAACAGGATCATTTCATGTGTGACAGTCTGTGGTGGGAGGAAAAGAGGTAAATAGGACAAATAAACATAGTTTGGATTAAATGGCACTATAGGATCATTCCCCAATTACTGTGGGACAATTATTCAAATTCAGAACATATACTTGCACTATTTCCCTCCAGGAATCTGTTTATATTGCTTTCTTAATAATAAGACCACACACCCAAGGGAAATTAAGACTAACAATTAATACAGAGATTGCCAGGAATAGAGAGATGTTAATATGCACAACTTAACAAATCCTCAGGTTGTTTTTGTTTTATTATCACAGGCATTCCTAAATTCCCCAAGGAGAAGATTGACCCTATAGAGGTAGAGCATGGTGATGCAATGATCTTACACTGCAACCCACCCAAAGGGATTCCACCATTACATATTTATTGGATGAACATTGGTGAGTATTGTTCCATTCTTAAATCAATCCAAGATTTAAAGTCAAATATCTATTCAAAAGCTTTTGCATGACTTAAATTTTTAGATATGCACCAGACGCAGTGGTTGAAACTGCAGTACTGCAGTCAAACCTCTGCTCACAACCTGTGTTCTATCCTAGTGGGTTCAGGTTGTCCACTCAAGGCTGACTTAGCCTTCCATACTTCTGAGATTAGTAAAATTGGTACCGAGCTCACTGGGGTGGAGGGCAAGTTGTTGCATAATTATGTTCTAACCACACAGAGAGTGCTCTAGCAGTGTGGGATAGTATATAAGTCAAAAGAACAATGACAAATTATCATATATTTCATTATGTGATCATACCTAAGTTAGAAAATGCTGTTAAGTGATAAGGCAGTTGGATAAACACATGCTACATCTTATAACCTGTCTACATTTAAAACAAAAAACAAAACAAAAAACAACACAATATGTAGTTAATTTTAAGCTGACAAGTAATTGTTTTTGAGCTGTTTCCTCTGTTCATATTTCTTCTCTTAATGTATCAACTTGTAAGGCTCCAAAAAAGAGAGGGGTAGCTGATGGTTGTTGTGGGTTTTTCGGGCTCTTTGGCTGTGTTCTGAAGGTTGTTCTTCCTAACATTTTGCCAGTCTCTGTGGCCGGCATCTTCAGAGTGAGCACAGAGTGCTGTCCTCTGAAGATGCCGGCCCCAGAGACTGGTGAAACGTTAGGAAGAACAACCTTCAGAACACGGCTAAAGAGCTCGAAAAACCCACAACAACCATTAGATCCCGGCTGTGAAAGCCTTTGCGAATACAGAGGGGTAGCTCATTAGAGCTCTACCTGGTGGTTTTAAATTGGGTATGCATGAAGAAGCTCCCTTTTAAAACCAGCTGTAAAGATCACAGCTGGCTAAATCTATTAAGAAAACAGTGTGCTAAAATAAACAGCTTCATGGTGGCTGCTTATTTTAGCTCGCTTCCTAAGAAAATGAAATGAGTCAAGGGGAAATAAATGCACACTTTGGAATTCATTGTGTGAATGTGAAACTAAGTGCAGTTCTAAATACAGATCAAATCCCAGGCTTTTTGGCTGTGTGACCAGGCCCTTAGTAGCTGCAAGTACTGTTACACTCCATCTGCACAGGAGAAAAGGAAACATTGTTATGTAGCACTGGAGTTCCAGTGAATGTATACATGAGGGATTGCCAAAACTATTAAAGAGAAAGGGCAAGAGAAGACAAATCAAATCCATAACAGCCCAGATCATGCAAGAGGAAGATGGGAATAGGGCAGACATCTACTAGCAATGGTTCCCAACCTAGGGTGACCCAGGTGTTCTTGGACTACAACTCCCAGAAACCCTAGTCAGCACAACTGGTTATGATGGCTTCTGGGAATTCCAGTCCAAGAATACCTGGGTTACTCAAGGTTGGGAAACACCGCACTAGAGTATCTAATAGTCAGCAACCAATGGCAGGTTTAGACTAAGTTCTAACTTCCACACCATCCGGGAGGGGGGACACACCCAAAACTTCTCATCTGGGTATGTAACTAGCAGTCTGGCCCATTTCACACACACCCCGAGATATGGATAAGTAACAGGGTTTATTTAAGGCACAAACAAATCCTTAAAACTCCCAGTCCCTACAACTTGCAAGGTCTAGATGTGGCAGTGGAAGTTTACATATTTGGACCAATTAATTCAGTGATGCAGCCAACAGATTCTTTGTTATACGCAGTGTATGATTAAAGAAGGGGTCACCTCCAATTTTTTTAGCTCTCCCCCTTAGTCCATGAGCCTTGTCTACAAAAAGAAATTTGTGAGTTTTGGAATGTTTTTTAACTTTATGGCCAGTCCTAGAAACTCTTGTTTCAGCTTTTCAGGTTGAGGATAGTTCAACTTGCATAGATTGTGCAGCAGCTCATGAATATTTTAATCATTGTATTCGCAAAGGCTTTCATGGCCGGGATATAATGGTTGTTGTGGCTTTTTCGGGCTCTTTGGCTGTGTTCTTCCTAATGTTTCGCCAGTTTCTGTGGCTGGCATCTTCAGAGGAGTGGAGTAGGAACAGAGCATGGACAGAGTTCTTACTCCTGTCCTCTGAAAATGCCGGCGACAGAGACTGGAGAAACGTTAGGAAGAATAACCTTCAGAACACGGCCAAAGAGCCCGAAAAACCCACAGCAGCCATTTTTCATAAAATTAAAGAGGGTTCCCTGGCCAGATTGACATTTCTGTTCTTGCAAACTCACAGCACCCAGACTTCATTTAACAAAGGCTGATGAGAAGGCACCTATTTATGCTTCTACATATTGCAACAGTTACAGTAAATTGTGCAATGCAACTCCATCTAACATGAAAACCACTTCTTTCAAAGTGATAAATTTGGGGGCTCCTCACAAGAATAACACATTAAGTGCTTCCACATTTTTTTCTCTACAGCTTTACAGATAATATATTGTCACCTCATATGGGAGGGCAGGAGAAGGATTGGGAGATGGTTGCTGATTAGATGCCTCACTGATTATTGACTGAACTGAGAGCTGTCAGAGGTTTCCTGAGATCCTGTGACCTATCTGTTTGCAGTGTCATTTTTCGTCCTTGTTTTTTCATATGACATGCATTGGGGTAGAAACCTAAGTGCTCCAAGTATAGTTGACTTGTGACACGGGCAATGAAAACACCCTCCCCTTCCCCTAGGAGAAAGCATACTTCTCCCACATTTCCACTTCCCATAAAAAGGGAGGGCATGCCGAACAGTGAAGGGGTGGTGCTTCCTGTTAAGTTTCAGTCTCTCTTACTGCCACAGAAGAAAGAGGACCGGAAAGACTGAACTACTGAACTACTGTAAAAAGAAGAAACCTGAAGTCTTGCTTCTGCACATTGCAGGATACAGATCAGAAGTTTGTATTCTGCTTGACATGACTTGACAGCCAAAGTGTCAATAAAAGAGACTTAGATTGAACCTTTCTTTAAGAAACACATGGGTTAAAGTGACATGTGCTTTATTGCAACTGTTACATTATCTCCACAGAATTTCTATGCAATGTTAGTTTGTAAGGGATGGACACAGAAATGTGTTCAGCTACATATAGGAATCCCCCTTGCTTCTTGACATCGTTGCAAAAAACCTGATGAATATGCCACAGATTGTTTCAGACCTGATGACTTGTTCACATTAAAAGAGTCATTTTCTTTACCTGGAAACAAGTATTTGACAGAACAGTGAGCTCATCTCTCTCTCTCTCAATCTCCCTCCCCCCCCCTCTCTCTCTCTCTGTGTGTGTGTGTGAGAGAGAGAGAGGGGG